GGGTGTTAGTTAAATCTTTTAGGTAATCAGGTGAATAGGATTCGTTTTTTTTTTTTAAATGGGAAACACCGGTGTATGCCACCTGTGTTTATTTATATTCATTATGCACCAGAGATTCATCCATTATTCAATTTAAACAACAACAACAGAAAAAAAATTAATAAAAAAAAAACCCACACAACAATTTAATATTAAAAAAACAACACACAAAACAATTTAAAATGTAAAATAACAACAAACAAAAAACAGCAAAAATTCCTAACCACGTTTATATTACGACTGTTTTTCAAATTGGAAATTTCACGTGAAGAATTTTAGCTGAAATTGTCGGAAGTTAGCTCTCTAATTTCTAATGATCTGTGCACATCGATGCATAGTCTACATGATTGTGTAACATGTAAGTCCCTCCCACTGTAGGTCTACTAAACGAAATGTAGCAGTAACAAGGCCACACCGAGGCTAAAGGAAAACCAAGAACAAACCCGAAGTTTAAAAATTACACTCAATAGATCAACATCTTTTAGCCAAATAAATTGTATTTTTCTATAATAAAATATATAAATATTTTTATTCTAAACATTACGACAGTAGACTTGACTGAGCTGCCAAAGATGCGCTTTTTTTTTGGGGGGGGGGGGGGGGGTGGGGGTGGTTGGTGGTTTGGGTTTTGTGTGGGGGGGGGGGGGGGGGGCTGGGGCATGAGAAATTATCAGCAGTTGTAGCCCTTTATAAATCTTTGAGGCGGAGAAATATCAAGGGGCTTTGGCGATACATTATAATATTTAAAGAATATGGGCAAATTATCGTTCTCGGAAGAAGTTGGTCCGTACGACAGGAAGTTCAACGCGGGTTCCGTGTTGGTGCCCTTGTGCTGGGTGCTGCCCGTGATGTGAAACCTGGCCAGTTTCAAGATCCGATCGGCCACTGGGGTGCTGAACCGGTTTTGGCCAGATATATCCTTGACCACGTTGGACGGAATCACGCAGTGCTCGCACGTGTTGGTGGATTTGGACTGGGTACGCGGACCTTCACGGTTATCACTCGGGTGCTCGCAGCATTTTCTGTTGTACGGCGTGCCAAGCCGGATGCCACTGGAGAGTAAAGCGGCATTTCTAATTCGGTCTCCCGAAAACTGAGCTCTCTTTTTTGGTTTTGGTGATGGCGGGTCTTTTTCGCGGGTTGGGATTATTGCAAACGTGGGTGAGGTGGATGGTCTCGACAACTCTATCAACTTTTCATAATTAGCATCCAGGTTACACCCATGGCCGCAGTTTTTGCGCGTGCCGCTGAGGATGTCCTTGCCGTATTTGTTGAGGACCGTCATTAATTTCATGGCTTTCGAAAACTTAGCCGGGCGGGGCATCAGGTTGAATTTTTCCTCATTCGGTGGGGAAAATGGAGGGGACAAGCCAAGCTTCTTACATGCCATTGGCAGCCACGAGATGCTATCATACGCCTCGGCGAACGCCATCGCCTTCTCTCCAGGGATAAGACCGAGTTTTGAGATTATCGACGTTTGCCGCGCTATCCTTTCGTCCTCGGTCGAAATTTTCTTGCGGCACCTGCGCTGCTTCTCTGTGATGTAGGCATGAGTTTTTTGGTGTTGTTGTGGGCTGGGCCAAGCAGCAGTCAAGAAATTGGCCCTATCCCTTCTGGGTGAAGACGAGCGACTCCATCGGCGCCTGTGGAGATGCCCGCGAACGTTTTTCCCCTCGGTAGATTTCGCATTGGAGTTGAGGCTTAAGCAAATACTCGTGTCCTTCCGCAAAGAAGATCGTGTTCGCTTTCTGGATATGCTTCTCCTGGATCTTCTCGGCGAGGCTGACGTAACAGACGCGGGCATTTCTGTTGCAGAATTTTTTATTTAAAAAAAAAGTCACACCACGAAAGCTTCTTCACTCTAACTTTATAAACAGGTTTTTTTTAAAAAAATATTGTACGAATACATGAATCCCAAAGTTCGATAATCGATTACATCCATCTACTGGGATTCCCAAAGCTGAAAGGCATAATACAAGCTCGGATAGAATCGCCTGGATCAAAGTGATCAGGTGGTCACGACATGGTCAACGAGCAAGTCACCATCAATTCACTGGATAGCCGTGACAACTCATAAGAATAAGACGATGACCAAGTGCAAGTGGTTGTGTGGTTTTCGGACTAAATTAGTAGAAAATAATAGTTTGGCGTGTTCTAGGTGATCGTCTGTTACTAAGCTGGAAGCCTGGTGACTCCGTGATCTTGCGAACACGGCTTTATTTCGAAAAAAAACCCCGAAAGCTCGCTTAAAAAATTCAATGTTTTTTTTTTTTTACTAAAACAGATTGTTTAAAGCTGCTCTGTGTCTGCTGATAAGGTTGGCGCAGAAGGTAGGCCAAGGAAGCTGTGCGTCTGCCATTGCTGTGACCGAAATAGTGTTTTTAGCTGCTCTGTTTCTGCTAATTAAATTAGTGCAGAGAGTAGACCAAGGAAGCTGTACGTCTGCCATTGCTATGACAACGAGAGAGGGCGGGCCTCAACGCTGACATCAGCAGGGCATGAGTTGTTTCATTCATAGGCCTGCCTGAAATGGGAAGATGAAGCGAGCATATTACTAGGCCTGGAGCAACGATCGCGTAAGGAAAGGGTGGGGAGGCACGTGAATATATTTTGTTATGGTGGGGAAATAATGAAATGATCAGCTCTTGGCTAAAAGACTCAAGACGACTTTTGTTTAACTAGGAGACGTCGGCATTGAATTACTCGCACTAAAATTAAGTTCAACACAAGAAATTACGTTGGCGATTACACTCAATGGCTGAGAGAAATAAAGGCTTAACTTTGCTCGAGTTAATTGTACGTTTACTTCTAATGTGTACTAAATATGGTAGAGGAGCGGGTCTCAGTATCGCATTCTGCATTTTCACGATTTATTTTTAATGATGCGTCAAGCTTCACAGTCTGCTATGTTTAACAGTGTTAAAGAACAAAAAATCATGAAGGGGAAACCTCTGGCTGGTAATCGGGGACTACATCACTCGGGACTCTAGCCAGCTTTTTAGGAAGACATCACACACTATACATTTCTGACTCGTGCAAAAAGGGGGAGGGGGGGTCACAAGGGTTGGTGTCACCCAGTGCGGTAAACACATAGCGCCGACCTCCACCAGAGATCCACTGAGTCTGCCTCCTCTGGTGACTTCCTGTTCTGTCGTGGCTAACTCACATTGTCCTTAACACATGTAACTATAGCGATACCTTTAACTTTAACTTAGAGACAATTCGCCGCCCAAATGACGCGTTTTCCAAACAGTGCTGTCCAACCTTTTTGACTCCTTGGGTCAAAATAGTCAAATTATTATTATTATTTTCCAAAAGCCAAGGGCCGCACATGACATCTCAAAAGAAAGATGGTTTGTTTTACCCTTTTTAGAAAATTATTCACATAATTAATCATTCTTACCTTATGCAAAAAAAAAAAAAAAAAAAAAGAAAACAACCAAAAAAAAAAAAAAAAAAAAAAAAAAAAAAAAAAAAGAAAATTTTCCAAAAGCCAAGGGCCGCACATGACATCTCAAAAAAAAGATGGTTTGTTTTACCCTTTTTAAAAAATTATTCACATAATTAATCATTCTTACCTTATGCAAAAAAAAAAAAAAAAAAAAAGTCATACAGCCAATAACATTATCGGCTCATCAAGAATATAAATAAAGCGAATATAACTGTAACCCCCCTTTTTAATGCTATACTTTGCTTTGAAGTGTATTTGTAATGTTCTTAAATGTTCGGCAGTTATGAGCAATGTTCCTTCTAAGGTTTGCTGGTTCGTTTGCAAAATCATACAGTTGTGTGCAAAGTTTTAAAGCATCAATTTTGTGTGTGCACAATTTTACAGCCCACAAACACAAACCCACTTACATGGAAATTTGCTGCGCGGATACTCAAAACTGCTGAGCTGCGTCTGTGAGATAGCTACGCGGCTACACAGACGCGCAGCTTAAAAGGAACATTGATTATGAGTAGCACCAGCCCTAATTATATTTTTAAAATGTTCCCCAGTCAAAGCCAAAGAGTTACGTGTTTTCTTGAATGTGGTCATTACTGTGCCTGGTGTGGGTTTTGTGGTGAAGACATTGTATTTTCCATAATCACTGTCTTATTCCTATTTCAATATTTGGGGGCCTCCCTCCATCAAGCACGGCTCACACGCGATTTCCCAACATGACTAAATCAGTGAATGTGGTTTGGACATATGTTCACCTTAAAAAACGGTTTAATTTTTAAACACGAAATAAAATAATATCTCACGCTTTTTTTTTTGGGGGGGGGNGGGGGGGGGGGGGGGCTTTCAAATCAGCTCGCAGACCGCGGGTCGGACAGCACTTAGGGGATTTCGAACGTGTTCAAAGGGGATAACTTAGAAAAAAAAAAAAAAAAAATTTAAATGGCTTAGGCTTATACTTATGCAAGTTAAATTGGCTTTAATTTACTTTAAATAAAGGGGTTGCAAAGGCTTAATTTTATTAGTGTGGCTCAGTAGCTTAAAGCTTTGAATAAATGTCCTAGGATTCGACTTTAATAGTTAAAATACTTACAGAGGCGTAGCGAGGGGGGACAGATTTCCCCGGGCGCCAGCTAGTTAAGGCGCCAAAATGTGCTTTGGTATTATTTTATTGATGAAAATAATGGGCTTGAGAGTTGAAAAAAAGAAAAACGGGCGCTTTAAAATGGATCTTGTCCCCGGGCGCCAATCTTGTCCCCGGGCGTCAAAC